TGTAAAGAAAATGTAGATACAAAAAAGAAATACATATATACAAGAGACATACATACGCAAGAGGGTAAGTTTTTATTACGGACTCTGTTGTCATTTATTACACGTACAATCGAAAAATGCATGATAAAAATGTTTTTATCTTTTACCCCTCACTTTTTGTTCTCTTTCACTACATTACCCTTTATTTCGATGTCTGAATATTTTTACGCTGAAATGTACATGACGGAGTTCCCAGTGACACATGATATAACAATCTTCGTTTTAAATTAGACTATCACTTGAATGTATTTGTAAAAGTGGATGCACACGAGCGAGTGATCAACGAAGATAAACTTTCTCTGTTAAAGTTTCAAAGATGTTCATCATAGAGAATGCAAATAAAACGGTTTGTTAACGTTTGGCTTCACGTTCAGACTGATTAAAGTAAGACGGCACATCAAAGAAGATTCTGAAGAAATTTATCCTTACATTTTCTCTGCTCGTTTGTTGTTCATTCGCTCGATCCACCTTTAATCTTGATTTTTGTACTGACTGAAGTTTTTTTTCCGAAATGTGTACCTGCGTTACGTGTGCAAGAAATTGACACGGGAGATTGTATAATGGGCATGTTTGTGCCTACACATCCCTGCGGTCAGCGATATGATAGTTACGACGACAACGTAAACCGTATACACTTGCATTATATTTCCATTGTGTAGCAAAACATGATGATTATTAAATATACATGATGTGTATCGAAAATATACACGCGTATATATACACACATGCCGACACTGCTTCGAAGATCTCTTATCGTACATACACTTGTCTTTTCTCTTTATCTCTTTTTCTCTTGTTTTTTAAATACAGCTACAGTGCCAGTAATTCTTGCATCGGGAGGGAGGAAAAAAAGGGAAAAATGCAGGTAGAAATTGACATTTTCACGCTCATAGAAAAGAAAAAGAGAGAAAGAAAAGGAAATGAACTCACTGCGCGGATACTCGATTCCGGTGTATTTGGACGAAGTAAATGTTAGATTTTCAAAGCAATCTGTTTTAATAAACTGAACGATGTATGAGGTAATCGATGTAGAATAGAATACATTCATTATGATATACATATATAAATATATGCCCTGTATAACATTCGGTCAATATACATAAGATACGTTACATTGTGTGTAATGTTACAATAAGGTAAGAGCATCCCACCTAAGGTATAAAAGAATGTAATAGTTTATGTTTTTCATACATATACACACACACTCAGTTTATCATAGAGTTATCTAGGACGTAAAAAAAAAAGTAAAAGATAATTCGTAATACCTAATTATATAATACAGCTCGGTTTCGAATAACGTTTCAAGTCAGTTTGTAAACAAAAAGAGAAAAAGACGAATTTCAGTTTCGACGAATCGTGTAAACTGCCATGATGCTTAAAAAAAATGTATTTCACTTTTTATGATGTATTTTCATTTTTTCGTGACGGAAATATATTAACAAATTACTAAAAAGAATGGAGAGTATGATGCCTGATTCTACCACGGAGAAGGGAAGATAGAGGATATATTAATTAATTGGATCACGTCATGCGTGCGATAGTCGAGAAGTTGTGTCCGTGCTTGTATAATATAATTATGACACACAAACATGCATGTCGTGTGTATCGAAGCACTGCTGACGCCCGTTGAACCAGGCAGCGAGTTCCCGGGCGTGTAAACGTCGGAAGTGATTTTTATCGTGCGCTTCGCTAATATTATCTCTGTTGTTATTATATGTTTAGTTTGACTTTTCGAAACACGAATTGTAAATGCTAGGCTGATACGACCTACACGTGTGCGTGCATTGTGCATATTTCGCTGATATCCAAGACAATATCATGTGCGAAATATGGACATGAAGACGTCTTAAAGATTGTTTCAAGATATCATATTATAAAAGATGTCTTAAAGTAAGTTTTAAAACGTCTTTAAGACATATTTTATCTTCACATTTTGAATTTATAACATTGTCTGGGTATCTATCTCGCTGGATAGTTTTTCGATTAGAAAAACCTCATCTCCCGAATACATTCGTCGAAATCGCATTTTCGTCCAATCTGGGCGCCGATAACGCACGTGTTATCAGTGATATCATTATCGTCGAATGTAACAGCATGTGCACCCGCACCCGACGTACATACATACATACATGTCCGTGTTGTTCTATTTTTGTCTTATTGGCGAAAACAAGAGAATCATAAAGGAGATCGCGCGCATCCCGTTCGATACAGAAAATGTGTGCACGCACACGCGTACGCGCACGTCGAGGAGGAAAATAAGCTATTTGAATAGATGATAAGGCGTATATAAGCGTTTATGCGATAACAAAATAAACGGGCTGATGCGGATATCGTTGTGTAGCATGAAGACGAGGACTTTGCTCCGTGACGCGCCGCCGTATCTAAACTGCAACTTAGCGGAAATTCCAATAGCGATCGACAAATAGTGACCTATAATCGGTGATATAATCTGTAATGTCGCGTAATGCGCGACGACCCGAAATGTCTGCATTTTGCGTTCAGCTCGAAAAGCAATCCCATATCTGCGTGAGCTGATTACAATTACCCAGACTTCACAAATGTCCGAGTGACGCTGCGGGAACGTCCTTTCGAAAGATTTTTTTTAAATGTCACTTAGATATTCTCCACGTTTTTGGATCTTTGAGACAGCGTTCAAACATTTCCTGGGCGTCTCAAATTTTTTAAGGCGTCGTTTAAATTTAGGCGTCGTTTAAATTTTTTTAGATATCGTTTAGATAATATCTTTCGGGTGTTTAAAAATTTTCGGCGCCTTTTAGACATCTTTTAGATATTCTTTATTAGAGAAACGTCCTAAATTTTGGGGACGTTGATTAGACACTTTGTAGACATTCGAAATTTTTGATGTTTAGCCATCTTTTTATGACATCGTCTAGACAATTTTTGTGTCGTTTGGGTATGAGACTATTGTCTGATATTGTTATCGGAAATTTATTTAATGAAATAGCGAAAATTATTTATTAATGCGTCGCGCGAGCTCCAAGAGGAAAGAAGGAAAGCTAATAAGATCTTTTTGTATATGCAGTATAGTTTGT